GGGAGTCATAGATCCCTCTATATAGGGAGTCATAGATCCCTCTATATAGGGAGTCATAGATCCCCTACAGCTTCAGTCAGTAATATTCTAAGTAGGTGCCCAGCTGCTTTACTTCTAGGAATACACTGAATTTGAGATATTTTTTTTTCTTTATAATCCTTGACATGATTTGCCCAATTTTCATTGGTTTAGTTAGTTTCCCATACTATATTTGGTTCCATCCAATTCTGTTTTAAGACAATTATCTTGGAAACATCTAGACAGATTCTTGAGTTTCTTTACATAATTTCTTTCCAGAATTCTGTTGGAAAGAATAAAAAGCTTCTGCATCTTAACCATAGTCTGAAACAGTGGTTTATTCTTATCTTACCTCATACAGCCATAGTTCTCTGTTTTGTGAAAAACTAAATTAGTGGCTAGGCCAGTGATGGCTAACCTTTTTGCCGTCGCGTACCAAAAGAGGGGGGAACACGTGGGTCACACGCGTGCATGCCCACACCCATAATTCAATGCGCCGTGACCCCCCGCTTTTGGTACACAATGGCCCAGTGGGCCCAGTACAGTGGTGGGATTCAAGTAATTTAACAACCAGTTCTCCCGAAGTGGTGTGAACTGGCTGAATCCCACCACTGGCCCGGTAGGCCCATTTTTCGCCCTCCCCAGGCTCCAGAGCCTTTCTATGAGCCTGGGGAGGGCAAAAATGGCTTTCCGCACCCCCCCGGGAGGCCCTCCAGAGGCTGGAAACGGCCCGTTTGCCGACTTCCGGTGGTACTGGAAGGCCCGTTTTTCACCCTCCCCATGCTCCTAGAAAGACTCTGGAGCCTGGGGAGAGCAAAAAACAGACCTTTCCCACCCCCACCCCCCGGAGGCCTGTTTCCAGACTTCCGGTGGGCTTGGAAGGCCCGAAAATTAGCTGGCATGTGTGCCGGAGTTGAGCTAAGGCAACGCTCGTGTGCCCACTGATATGGCTCTGCGTACCACAGGTTCGCCGTCACAGGGCTAGGCTTTAGTAGACAGCCATTAATTTACTTGAAACATAAGGTGGATGATATGAGTAGCTGTTGCTCTGACATGTCTTTTATCTCCTGTAGACATGTGAAGGGTATTACATTTAAAATTAATGGGCTGGGAAAAGATTTAGCCAACACCACAATGAAAAAAATTAAAATGATCAAATCCCAAGTAACCACAGTCATCTTTGCAGGAAATATAGAGATATATTCCTTGAGTAAAAGAAAAAGAACTGGCACAAATTGCTGTTAGAGCAATTTGTGAGGTCTCTTTGCTGCCCTGGATGAATGTCTTGGCCATAATTTTGCTAACCACAAAATATCATGCAAATTCAGAATAATATTAAATCAAAACTTCAGAATAAAGAAAAATATATGATTGAAAGGCTTATTATAGGCTGCATTAATAAAATTAACATAATTGTAAATCTTCAGATTTCACAATTTATCATGTACATTAGAGCATGTGGCTAATTAGAATTCACTATTAAATGTTGTATAGCACATCTCAGAAATTTAATATTGTAAGAAAAGCATAAAATATATAAAAGGTTGGTATCTCCAAAATAATCCTGATTTCTTGGGATATTTTGATTAGTTTATGTAGCATTAGTCATTGTTAAATTGTTTTAAGTACATTACTTTTGAACTTAGTTAAATGATAAACTAGAACAAAGTTCCAAGTCTATTTTTTCTTATTTGTTCAAATATTTACTCTCTCTTTTTTCAATATGCTATTCTGAGTATAACTCATTATTAAAAGTTATGTTCTTTTCCTATTTTTAATCATAGAAGTATATATTTTGTATTTATTATTTTTTTCCAAATATTCAGATTTAATTATTAGTTTATATCACAGGTTTGAACATATTGAACCCGGAGGACTGTCATTCACATATATTCACACTAGCCCATCATGCAGCATGATGCTTGCATACTAATTGTTGATGTGTTGCTTGTGAGTTGAAGCATATGCTGCATTTTCGTCCAACATATTTTCATTCTATTATATTTGGCAATCAGTTGTTTAAATAAGTTACACTGAGCTATGAGAAAAAGGTGGTCCTTTATTTTATTTGAGGGTTATACATTATCCACATACATTACCCACATACAAGGCATTCTTAAATTCAGTTTTTTTCAAAATTCTAAATATATTTTTAAATTTTTTTCACAGAGATCACAAGTATCCAGAAAGAATGCAAGCAATAAAGGGGTAAATTGACTGTTTTAACATACACCTAAAATTCTGTTATGGCATTTTAAAAGAAATATCAAATCTTCATTTTGAACCAAACAGGTTATTTTATAACTAACACACACACATACACACACACACTCACTCACTCACTCACTCATTCACTCACTCACTCACTCACTCACTCACACACTCATGTTTTGCATTTTTCCTCCCAAGTGATATCTATAGTAAAATATTTGGCAGAAGATGACTTCTTCTTTTAAATGCCCCTACTAAAGATCAAATGACTCTGGTGGAAGTTTGCTATTTGTAAAAATCAGGTAAAGAGACACATTCTATGATGTTTATAAAAGTTAGAGGTCTCATTTCCCTCATTATTTTCATGCTTATGTCTCACCCCTTTTGTCAATCTCATTTGACCCTCAAGTGGTCAATTTGGAACTGAACACATTCAAAACCGTAGAAATGGTGGTAGATTTTAGGAGAAACCTTCCCATACTACCACCTCTTTCAATACTAGACAACACAGTATCAACAGTAGAAACCTTCAAATTTCTGGGTTCTATCATATCTCAAGACCTAAAATGGACACCTAACATCAAAAATGTCATCAAAAAAGCACAACAAAGAATGTTCTTTCTGTGCCAACTCAGGAAGCTCAAACTGCCCAAGGAACTGCTGATACAGTTCTACAAAGGAATTATTAAGTCTGTCATCTGCACTTCTATAACTGTCTGGTTTGGTTCTGCAACCCAACAACACAGACTTAGACTTCAGAGGATAATTAGAACTGCAGAAAAAACAATTACTACCAACCTGCCTTCCATTGAGGACCTGTATACTGCACAAGTCAAAAAGAGGGCTGTGAAAATATTTACAGACTCCTGGCATCCTGCACATAAATTGCTTCAACTCCTACTCTCAAAACGACGCTATAGAGCACTGCACACCAGAACCACTAGATACAAGAACAGTTTTTTCCCAAACTCCATCACTCTGCTAAGCAAATAATTCCCTCAATACTGTCAAACTATTAAGTCTGCACTACTATTAATCTTCTCATTGTTCCTATCACCCATCTCTTCCCACTTATGACTGTATGACTGTAACTTGTTGCTGTATCCTTACGATTTACATTGATTGTTTCCTAGTATGATTTGATTGCTTATTTGTACCCTATGACTATCATTAAGTGTTGTACCTTGTTGTACCTTATGATTCTTAACTAATGCATCTTTTCTTTTTACGTACACTGAGAGCATATGCACCAAAAACAAATTCCTTGTGTGTCCAATCACATTTGGCCAATAAAGAGTTCTAATCTAATCTAATCTAAGTGAGATAATTCTGTTTGAGGGGGGGAGCAGAAAAATTCCAATTTTTCCAATTTTGGCTTGGTCTCCTGAGTCCTTACTTTGCAGGGGTTTTATAATCATTTTGATACTTTTCTTAATAAATGCCAGACATGTTTATTTAGTGTAAAGCTACTATAGTTTGTGGAAATGTGATGGTCAAGTACTTTGTTTTAGAGAGCACTGTTTGGACTATTTTCCCTATTCAGTGTATTCGACTGTTAAGAAATGTGTTTTCCACAGGAAAACAGGAGTCCATATGGAAATTAATCTGGATATACAAGGTATACCAAAAGTCAGACTTCATAGACAATTACTGTGTATAAATTACATTAGCATTCAAAAGTTTCCTTTAAACTTTACTCATTTAACACCTGATCTTTGAGTATTCCTAAGCACAGTAACATTTTCTTTGAAAAATAAAATAAAATAAATAAATGATCAGCTTGGGGGGGGGATACTTTTGATACAACCTATATAGTCACTTATGCCCTGGTCATCTCACATTTGGATTACTGCAATATACTCTACTTTGGACTACCCATGCAGAGTATTCAAAAGCTACAGCTGGTGCAAAATGCAGCAATGTAGATAATTCTGGGACCTCTAGAATGGCCCAGGAAGCTGCTATTGAATGAACTGCACTGATTGCTGGTGTGTTTCTGGGTCCAATTTAAGGTATTGGTTATGAATTTTAAAGCACTTTATGGCATGGAGCCAGCCTACCTGAGATAAAGTCTCACCCGAATGGGATTGGACCCATTTGTTCCGTCAGAAAGGGGATGTCGTGGACCCCATCAGTTAAGGAATTCTGGCTGAAGTGATCCAGAAGGACCTTTTTCTGTCATGGCTCCCACCCTTTGGAACATAATGCACCTTGAGGTGAGATTTGCCCCTACCCTGCTTGGCCTTCTGCAAGAGCTTCAAAACCTGGCTCTGCTGATGTGACCTCAGTGGGGCATTTCCATGTTGGAGGTGGTTAATGGATTAGGAAGAAGATCCTACCTCCATCCCTTAATATTCTGATTTTTAATTTATTTAATCTGTTAATTTTAATATTTAATGTTTTCGGATGTTTGTAAGCTGCCTGTAGTCACTTGACAGTGAGATGGGCAACATACAATTTAATTAATAAATATTTAGTTACAGAAAAAGGTCATGTAAGTAAATAAGATGGACATTATCTGAATATGGATTCATATTTAAATTATGAAGGATTTATTATACTGTCCTGTATAGATTTTTATAGTACAATATATTATTATATTTAGTTCTGAATTATCAAATTTGACTTGAAAGTAGGGTCTTTGAAGTATTTCCTACTCATCTATTTTTTGCAACCAAAAACCTTTTAATTTACATATATTACACATGAAAATAGACCAGCAAATCCTACGTGTATAGAACAACATAAAAAATTTCATCCTTTTAACTTGCCTTTTTGTTTTCTATTCTTTTTTTTCCTGCTGCAGTCCTTCACAAAAAATGATGAAATTTGCTATGAAAATCTGTATTTGGGAAAAGGGTAGATCAATATTGGTATTCCTTTCTTATTTTTATGCAATATAAATAGAAAAGAGTGTTAATTTGTTAGTTATTATCCATGCTTTTCCTTGTGAGCAACATTCTATCAGTGTGACATATTTCTAAGCTATGACAGAAAAATAGGTATCTTTTTGTGACTGTCAGTATTATCTGCTGTGAATTCTTTGAATGATTTAGAAATGACAGTACTTTTTCATTCTATTGTCTTCAGTTTGTTTGTGTCAGAAAGGACATTGCCCAAACATAGTGTGTACCAAATGAAGAGTTGTTAAATGAATTTGAATACAATTATATAGATTCTATTGATTGTGTCTCTAGCAACATGTTTCTTCTTGAAAGACATATATTTTTAACTGTCTTTCAGCCAGCCGAGATTGCCAAGTATCTTGATAATACTAAATATTATAAATCATGTTGTTTAGTTAAGACTATGAAAAAGTTATTTTTACTTAACAATTCTTTATTTTCTTAAGTGCCCTATTTATGAATGTTTCCTATTGTTATTCCTTTTTGTCCAATCATGATGATAGAAACATTTAAAAACTCATTTAATCCTTATGTTTTGATAATATATGATATCTTACATATTTCAGTTATTGAAATGCATGCAAAACTGTTGAAGAAATAATACTTCAATAGTGTATTTAGCATTTTCCATATATATTTGTTGTTAAGATCTCATTACAATTTCACTAAAATTTTAAGAGCTAAAAAAGGCATTTATATCCATCTCACCAAGTTACATTGTTAGACCAAATAACAATTATGGAAAAGTATAGTGAATGCAGGAGCCTAAGAGTGAGTAACCTAGTGCCTACCAGTGTTTAGTTTGCATTCTATAAACTCCACCCAACGTGAAATATAGTCGATTATGAGAGCTGTAATCCAAAACAGCTGGAAACTGCTAGATTGGTTTTGTGTTTAATAGTATTTTTATTTTCAGATATTTCTTTTTTATGACATAACTTTGGTCTAAAATGATAACTGTTCAAATGAATGTTGTTTTAAAAATATGTTTTAACTATGAACAAGAAACTGGGTTAAAAAAAACCTGGCTGAGAGCCAAAATTGAGGTGGATTTTCAACTTATTTAAAAAATATTAGCATGGGTTCAGGTTTTGATTCTGAGACAAGCTCTGGTACTTGGCAAAATTTCATGCACCCTACTCTGAGGAATAATGAATAGATTTATAGTGGGGGAAATAATTCAAGGTGGAAATGATTAAAAACACTTACCCAGCATTATATCTGAACTCAAAAGTCAGTCTTCTGTTAGCTACCTGTCCATATATGAGTAGGTGGTGATTTTTAGAGCTATGAATATCCTTTGAAAAAAGTACTTTGCAACCTGCAGTTGTGCATACAAAGCACCTCTTTTTAAATCATTAAAGCAAGCATCTTTTTCCCAGCTGAGCAGCCATGCATACAGAAACAAGTCTGGGAAAGGATGCAGCTGTTTTAATGATTAAAAAAAAAAGATGACATGCATACAGAGATTTCTGTATTCAGCAGTGTGAATATCTGTGTGTGCGTCCGCGCACACAAATTCTTGTCGGAAGTAAAAACTGATTTCACAATAATAAATCTATGCAAGTTCTGCTGTTATTGGTCACTGAATGCAGGGTTATTTCAGAGGAGAATAAAGATTTTTGCTATGCCTTTGTGAAATCATACATGTTCATCTTAGAATTTCATAATTTTCAATATTTAAGGGCTATGTTGATATAACACTTGAAGCTATGACTTGCTGAAAAGTACAGTTTGAGGTTTGCATAGGAAAACAGGATTGAGATATTAGTGTGGGATCCCAATTATAGGTACTTTGTCCCAGAAATAGTGAGGGACATTGAGAATTGTAGTTTATTGATATCAGGAAAACCATATTCTAGACCAGGGATGTCAAACACGTTGTCATGGCAACATCACATGATGTATCGGGACTTTTCCTCCCTCCCTTCACTAAATTGGGCGTGGGTGTGGCCAGCACGTGATGCATCCGGCCCATGGGCCGTGAGTTTGACAGCCCTGTTCTAGATCCATGATATTAAAATTGAAAACTGGCTTCTCAAGGACCTACTGAACTTGCAGAAGTGAGACAGAAACTTCAGAAATTTATTGCAGCAGACTGTTTGTCCCCAGATTGAAGTTCTGCAACTATTCTAGGTTTCTTGTTCCTGGGTGAAAACACATAATCATCAAAGACAGTTATTTTTCACTCCTGCAGTTGGAGCTTCCAGCCTAGTCTGTGATAAAGTTTGCACTGCAGATTAGTTTAAACTAGTGTCTCATTTTGAAAAATTCACTTTGGTAAATGCAGGACACCCCTCCCTTTTGCTTTCTTCTCTCAATTCCATATATGTAATCCATATCTGTTCTTGAAATACAGATAGAAAATGAAAAATATTTTCCAAAAGGGTATTGTCATTCTATTTAATAAAATAAACATTTGATTGTATCCATTACAATAAAGTGGTAAGGCCTTCTTTCCAAAAAAATAAAAAATAAAAAAAATAGATTCACATTTTAATGTTTATGAAATTACAAATAATTTAATTGTTCCCACAGATAAATGTTTTGGTAGAAGTTTGGGCCAAAATTTAATGTTAGATAGTTTATTTTTACAAATATTTTTGTACTTTTTAAAGGATTTACCTAAACTGGATTCACACAACACTTATGGTTTATTTGTTTTGTCTTAATGTGTTACATAAATCAAGATACTGTGGTTTAAGCGTGTTTTATGAATTCAGTTATTGTGATTTAATAAATAATTATTAAAACAAAACCTGGCTGACAGTGATGTAAGACTCCAGTTTGAATAAGTCAGAAATTCCAGAAAAGATTAAAAGCCCACTTCCACTTCTTTCTTAGACCCTTGATGAACCGCCCTATTTGACAGTAGGCACTGATGTGAGTGCAAAATACAGAGGTGCCTTTTGTGAAGCCAAGATAAAAACAGCAAAAAGACTGGTTAAAGTCAAGGTATGTATATACATGCATTTTAAAATTCATTTTAGGTATATGTAAAATACATAACTGATGAACTTTTGAATAATAATCTCTTTGTACCTATTTTCCATCAGAGCAAGTGTCTGTCAGGCTACACTTTTTCTTTCATTTGATTAGGTAGGCTCATAGCAATTGAAGGCATATAAGAAATAAAGAGCATTAGAGTTTGAATAGAAATGTAGTAATTATTTCTGCTAAATTTGCCTATAACATTAATATAATGAATCTGGATAAAAGGAACAGCACTGTATGATTGTGTCTGCATGTATTCCCATTTAACAGCAACTTTCTGAATTCTTCTAATTATGATATTGGTTTTCTAATCTACAGTCTGCATGCAGTTGCAGAAAATCCATTTATTTTACACAGGCTTGCACAAGAGAAGTTGAGTCAATTGTTTCCATAAATCCAAATATTTATTGTTTCAAATATTGTGTTTGCTATCTAGCTAGGACCTATTTCCATTTACTCTTGAATAAATAACATAAGGATTGTAATCCTGTTTGCAAGATTGAAAGCATGAATTGCTTAATGTGATCAATTTCTTAATTAAATATCTGTAATCCAAGTAGGAGAAAATAATTAGACCTTTTGGCCGAAACAAAAATCAATCTCACCTTCAAAAATCTCAGATTTGGCATACTTTGAAGTAAACTCTCTCTTGTTTTCAAATATTCTTGTTATCAGTTGTGTTAAAGCAAACTTTTTTCTTCTCGCTTTTTCCAAATTATGGGAAGCTAATTTGAAGCTATCACCCACAAAAAATAAATGTGCACACTTATCACTAGCCAATTTGTACATACTCTTAGTAAGAATATTAGCCTTTGTGATCTTAATCTTTAAGATTAGATCCTTAGGGCTATATTTAGATTGCTGTTTCAGGAATTTTTGGCTCCACCTCATGAAACTCCTTTTAACATATCTCAAAATCTGATTCAGAAGTTCCCCCAAGCAAACTTGAAGGCTTTAGGGGAGAAAACAAGTTCATTTTATTGATGCTTGAATTGGACTTCACTCCATGTACTGACCTTCCATTGACACTATATTTATCAATGGAATAGTATTTAATCTTTCTCTTGTAGCAATTTTTGGTACATTTTACCAGAGATAGTGAAATCAGACTATTTCGCTTCTTAGTTCATTGGCTTCCAGTTTTTTTTTTATTTAAAAAAAGTGAAGTTTTTAAGGGCCAGAGTATTCTCCAGACACTATTTTTAGAGTAACAATTAGAAATGCTTATTGATAGGGGAATACTGGTACTTATATCTCTCTGCATCTACTTCCTAATTGTGTTCTGTCCATATGGTTTAGAGAATAATAAATAGATGTGAACAGTTTGATTTCATTTCACCTTGCTGTGGCTATGTAGTTAAGTTGGAACCACAAAATTTTGCTGAAATCTACATTTCAGATATTTTGTAGGCAAGGCAAAAGAAAATTGTAGAGAATGAAGGTGAAAGAATAGTTGATGTTATGAACTACTTGTATAATTTTAACTTAATCATATTGTTATTGATTGGATTTATGTGTTTTCTTTTAAAGTCTCAGAGAAGCATTTGTCTTCCAACAGTAATGGTTAGGTTGGGCTTAGAGTTACTTGTTCAAAATCATCTAATCACGTAACCTAACTGTTACTGTTGAAAGATAGATGCAGAGATTTAAAGAAATGTTTCCTGTGTCTGCATCTATATCCTTGTGTTCCTTTATAAAGGGGAAAAGTATATTAAATCAGTTGATCTTTATAAATGTGTATTAACTCTAATACTTTAATTCTATTACAATCTGGTTGTTCCACTACAAGAGAAAACTAGTAACAAATGAAAAAAAAAATGCAAAATGTGAGTTTCATTTGAACCTCAATAGCGTCATCTACTGCAAATAGGTTAAACACGGGTTCAAAAATACAATAGCCATTCTTATATTGCTTTAAACATGTTTACAATTTCATTTTCTAGGTAACATTTAGGCATGATTCATCAACTTTAGAAGTTCAAGATGATCACATAAAAGGCCCTTTAAAGGTAATATATTTGAGTAATTGGTGAAAAAAATGAATAATTTTTGGAAAATTTAGAGTGTATTTGAAATATATTATAATTTAACAGTTCAACAATATAGCATTGACATTATCCTCTGAATAGAAACATTTGTTATTTAAAAACACTGAAATGTAATGCTGTATGTTGTAGAATTTAAGAGCCTATTTTTTGGTAAGATCTTATTATTTTCTGTATAGTGGATAGTACAGAACAATATGTAATATATATTTATTTATTCAATTTATATAGTTGGCCATCTCAAATAAGTGACTGCGCAGTTATATAAATTCAGTAATAAATTTGGCAGCATAAAATAAATAAAATTTTGGGGGGATCAGGCAACATCTACTAAATATTTGTGGAAGTGTCATTATCTACATATAAGACTCCTTGGAATTCACTTAGCAGCCTGTATATTTTTATTAAAGATATATAGAGATTACCAGTGTGCAGCCTGTGAACTTCAGGCTGTATGTAGCTCTCAGAGTCTTTGGCTTCAATCTGTCACAGGTTGTCTGGAATACATTTCTCTTACAGGTTTGACATAAAACATGGCTGGAAGAAGTGCTATTGTTGTATGAAAGAAATACTCATATCTTTTTCACAAGTGCCAACCACTGAGCTCATCACTTTCACAGAAAAAAAACAACTAAGCACATAAAGGAAAATTCCTAGTAAAAGAAAATCTGCACAATTTTTTTTCTATAATTTTTTGAGAGAATCACCAGTCAGATGATTGGTGTCAGTAGCATATAACACTGTTGCCGTAATATACCAGGATTTTCACAAAGCTTTGACAGAGTTACTCATCAAAAGCTCTTAAGTAAACCTGATGATCATAAAGTAAGAGAATCTGTCTTTATTAATCCAAAATGTAATGGCTATGAATAAGTATATTCCATGCTAGAGTTAATTAGGAAATTGAATGAAAATAAGGCTGCCAATAGTGCAATGCTTTTGTTCAAATCTATGGAAAACCCACATTTAGAAAGCAGCATTTGTAAAGCACATAGAACAAGACAACCAAAACTTTAGGTCTCAAACATTTGGGAGCCTTTAACCTAGGAACAAATAGCTATGGGACAATAAGATCATGATTGTAAAACTACTGTACGGCCAGTTTAGCAAAAAATAGATATAGTAAGGATTTTTTTCCCTCTCTGGAACCAAAAGTCATCCAATGAGGCTGATTGGAAAGAAATTTAGAACAAAGTTTTTTGATAAGTTTATCATGGACAAGCCTATCAGTCTTGAAGATTCTGTCTCATCTCCGCTTTGGGGACCACATGCCTCCAAATGTAACAGTGGCAGGAAAGACATAAGCACTAAGATGGGCTTTGATCTGATCCAACAAAGCTCTTACTATTCTTTTATATAATAGTAAGTACTTGACAAAGATTTGTCATAAAGAGTAATTGCTAGGTGCTATGTAGTTTGTACTCTACCTCCTCCTACTCCTCTCTTTTTGCAAAGAATGTATGGACTGTGTGCGCTGTGCTAAGTAGCATCACAAAAGTTGTTCCTAATCAAAATACAGTCCTTTATTCAACTGAAATGGTATGTTTCCCTTTATACTGGTGAGAGAAATTCAGTTCCTGTATTATAATACTCAAACTGCACATTACAGTAGTATTTTAGGCGTTACCTTTAAAATGGAAATCAACTGTAGTCTCCTGTGATGGAGAGAAAATACCATATTTTTCGGAGTATAAGATGCACCTTTCCCCCCCAAAAAGGGTGAAAATCTTACTCTGAATGTAGCCCCGCCCAGCTTTCAAATGGAGGTTTCAGAGGCTGAAAAAAGCATCAGAAATGAAACTTCAGAAAAGAAGCCCCCAAACAGAGCTTCAGAAAAGAAGTCCCCAAACAGAGCTTCAGAGGTTTTTTTCTGAAGCTCTGTTTCAGAAGCTTTCAGAAGCAGGAAAAAAGTTTTTTCTGAAACAGAGTTTCAGAAGTTTCAGAGGCACAAAAAACAAACAAACCCAAAAAACAAACAAACAAAAAAAAAACAATGCACAGAGCTTACAACCAAGGAACCTGTTGCTAAAATTCACCTCTGGGAACAACTGATTGGGGCAGTGGTGGGTTGCTCCCGGTTCGCACCGGTTCACAAGAACCGGTAGTAAAAATTTGTAGTAGTTCGGAGAACCGGTAGTAACATTGGCTGGCCACGCTCCCGAACCGGTCCCCGGCCCTGTCGCCGCTCGCTTACCCCGCCCACCCCATCAGAGGCTTTTTTTTTTTTTACTTTTAAAAGCATTTTTTCTACAACCTCTTCAGTCGAAAAAATGCTTTTAAAAGTAAAAAAAAGAAAAAGCCTCTGATGATCGCGTGGCTCAGCTGGGATTGTCAAGAGGCTTTTAAAAGCATTTTTTTCTGCAATCTCTTCAGCTGAAGAGGTGTAGGAAAAAAAATGCCTTTAAAAGCCTCTGGTGATCCCAGCTGAGTTGCCTGATTGTCAGAGGCTTCTAAAAGCATTTTTTTCTGCAACCTCTTCGGCCGAAGAGGTTGTAGGGAAAAAAATACCTTTAAAAGCCTCTGGCGATCCCAGTTGAGTTGCCTGATCATCAGAGGCTTTTAAAAGCATTTTTTCTGCAACCTCTTAAGGTTGTAGAAAAAATACTTTTAAAAAATTTTTTTTTAAAAGTTGGCCACGCCTACCCAGTCACATTACCCCAAGCCACGCCAACAAAATAAGCCACACCCACAGAATCGGTAGTAAAAAAATTTAGAACCCACCCCTAGATTGGGGGTATTCCAGGAGGCTGATCCACCTGCCAATCAGCTTTTTTCTTATTTTCTTCCCCAAAAAGTAAGGTGCGTCTTATACTCCAAAAAATACGGTAGTTTCCTTTTTCTGGCTATAATATTAATTGATCCTTACCTTTGTACTCATAGAAAATATAAAAGTAGAAAGAAAGGAAAGATGATGATTAATAAAAATAAATATATTAATATTAAATTGAACATTTTAAAAATAATTTTAAAATAATTGGTGCTTTCCTTTCTTTCTTGTCCAAAATAAGTCTTTAGAGATGTTGTCTTCAATCTTTTTTTGATATGCAGAGAAATTGAAACTATATTGCACACTCAGACTTTTAACCCTCAGTACTAAGAAGCTTGTCTGCCTTTTGTTTTACATACTATTTTAGTGAGCCATTTTGACATCAACTCTTTTTCACCATCTGCTGGCAGTAAAGAAAATATAAAGTACATCACTGTACATGAAAATAGATTTTTTTAGAAACAATACTTCTTTTACAAATAATTTGAACAGGCTGATCAATTATTGTTTTACAAATTCTGGCCTTATTCTAATGGGACTTTTTGCTTTCTATCTAAGGCTGAGAAAGAGTGGCTGGCTCAAGGTCACCCAGGAGACTTTGTACCTAAGGTGGGAACGGAATTCATGGTCTCCTCAGATTTCTAGTCTGGTGGTATAACTGCTACACCAAACTGCCTTTCATATGCTACTGTACATGAGTATAAAAACTAAATTCAATAAAATAAGAAGTGAAGTGGTTCAGTAGTTCATAACCAAGTGCTTCTTCAAAAACCTTTAAAGTTGCTTTTGTTGTAGGTAGGAACTGTGGTGGAAGTCAGGAATCCAGATGGAACTTATCAGGAAGCTGTCATCAATAAATTAACAGATGCTAGTTGGTATACTGTAGGTAAGGAAAACTTCTTTTGACACAATTGAAAAATTAAGTTTGTAAAAAATGTACTTTCTCCTGTAATATTCACCAAGGGTTGGTCTTTGTATTCAGTGAGTCTTTGAGTTTCAATATAGAATCTCCATTGAAATTGATATGCAATCACTTATGAATGTTTTGGGACAGAATCTGCTTGATAATGATAAAAAGACAAATAGAAATAGGAAACGAGAATTGTGCAACAGCTTTAAATAATAACTTCTTGCCAATTCATAGAATTTGGAATCTGACTCTTAACATTTTAAAACTTCAAGGTATATGTTGCATTAAAAAGGCCCTTTTTGGTCCTAATTTTTCTGATTGGTTTTTGACTGTTCTGAATATTGTCCTAATTCTATGGTATTGGGGCATCTCATCTTTCCAGCTGCTTCTAGAAATTCTAGAACAAACTGCTGTTGTATATGCATTTTTTTCCATTCAGTCCCATCCAATTCTCACTGACTGCTTGGCCTAGTTCCTGCAGTTTCCTTAGCAAGGTTTTTCAGAAGTGGTTTGCCATTGTCTCCTTCCTAGAGCTGAGACTGGCCCAAGGTCATCCAAATAGCTTTGTGTGTGAGGCAGCACTAGAACTCAGTCTCCCAGTTTCTACCCTGATGCTTAAGTAAATGAAACTAGCTCTCTTATACAGATAGTTCTTGACTTATGACTGGTCACTTAGTAACCATTTGAAGTTACCTAAAAAGGGGACAAAATAGCCATGAGATCTATCTGGATTGAGCTTGGTAGTCCCATTAATAAATGGTGATGTATCCCATCATCATAGTTCAGTACTATTATACATCCCCCCCATTCATTCTCTCTCTCCCTCTGCCTCTCTCTCTCTCTCTCTGTCACATACACACACACACACTCAATATAAAGTATTATCTATCAACATTTTAAGATTCTTTTGTCTCTTGTGCTCTATCTCCCTTCTTCCTTTCTCTGGCTTTCTGGCTATATATATATATTATATATATTATATTATATTATATATAAATCATAATATTAAAGCAGTGGCTATGATACTGTTTCCTGACACAACTACAACATGTGGAATCGATGTATAGTTTGTACTTAACTTATTTTTATTTTCTGTCTAAAACACTCTATAAAAAGAAGAACAGTTGTTTCTACAGAATCCTTAAAGGCTAGACTCTTACACTGCACAGGTTTGCTTAGGTTAGAGCCTATAGTATTTTATAGTATTTCTGAAGTTTCTGATTAAATGAAACTCAATTTGGCTTAGAAATGTACATTTACTTTTAGCTAGAAGTCATTATAAAATTGATAAGTATGAAATTTATGGAATAAGTAGGCTCAGCTGTATGTTTAATTGAAATTTAATTAAACTTAAGGAAATAAAAAAAAACCTATACAAAATTTTATATTGTGTTTCATTTTACAATTGGTAACAGTATTTGATGATGGAGATGAGAAAACCCTTAGACGATCTTCACTTTGCTTGAAAGGAGAAAGACATTTTGCTGAAAGTGAGGTAAACTTTTTCTTTTTAATTTAGCTGTGCTGTAGAAATTAAGCATGCTCTGCTAATATTTGCCCACTGATTAATGAAATGGAATGTATAAGTTGTGCTTCACTGTCAGTAGTGGGGTATAGTTGTGAAATCTAGAAAAAATATGATTCTGTTAAAGAGAATCTCTGTTACTATCACGTGTTCATGTGTCAGTGGCTTGAGTAGCATATTTTTTTCTTCTAATTTAGCTTTCTGTGATTGGAACATTAGGCAAAGACATTTATTTGTACAATAAAATGTGTGTTTAATGGACATTATAATTAGATTTCAATTGTGGTAAGAGGGGTTAAAAGTATAGAATAGTATAACTCATACTAAGAACAAATAATTACCTACAGCTTAATAATTTCCAATAATAGGAACCTTTAACTTAATTCAAATACAAAAAATATGAGGTATTGTAGTTTTAATTCTTAAAATGTAGTCTCCTCATTTTGACTGCTCCTACACTACATCTTCTCTCCTGCATATAAAAAAGTATTTTATGTGGGATGAGATGAGAATGATCCCCTTTTTTTCTTGTCTTGAATGACAAAAATGGAGATAATACAGAAAAAACAGTGGCGGCTAACATTTATTATGTGGAGTTATCACACACAGGTTGTCCCGCAGCGAGTTGGCTGCAGCAAGATGGCTATGGCAGATTGGCCACAGCGAGTTGCCCTAGACCCCTTCCTTTGGGAGAGATGACTACAAGAAAGTGGGGCTTTGGCTCTATCTTCTGAATAGAGATTTCCTCTCCAAAAACCTTGCCTTTTTATGTTATTTCCCTTACTGAAGGTAGGAAAGGAGAAGATGGCATTTGGGATAGATTTATGATCTCTATAAAACAGTGTCTCTTTGTAGACACTCCGTATTGTGCTGTTGATATTTCTGTTTTCATGCTCCTTGCAGGTTGAGTTCATAATAGGGCCCATTGTCTGAATTATTCTTCGTTTGGTTTTTTTCAAACAAATGTGTTAGTTCATATTCTGACAAATCTGTGTTGTGAAATTCTCTGCAATAATTGAAAAAATAATGTTTTTGTCAACAGACATTAGATCAGCTCCCTCTTACCAACCCTGAACATTTTGGGACTCCAGTCATCGGAAAGAAAACTAATAGAGGAAGAAGATCTAATCAAATGTAAGTTTTATGTTTATCTGGTTCATGATTATCTTAATTTTAGAATTATTTGAACTGAATAAAAAAGCAACATATAATTCAAAGTAGAAGATGAAACTGGAAAGTTACCTGGGGAAACAGCAACTCTTAGGGTTTGTTTTAAATACATGCAAGATTTAGAATGGATTAAGGCATGGGTCAGCAACCTGCAGCTCTGGAGCCACTAGAGGCTCTTTGGGCCCTCTGCTGCGGCTCCCTGTCCCATCACTGGTTCACCCCGCCCCCTTATTCTGTTTTTGGACTCCAGCTCGAAGCAGCAGGAAGCGAAGTGTGAAGGCAGGTACAGGGCAGCTTCGCTCCTGCACTCTCCTCCCCCCATCTCTTCTCGTAACCCCCTGGCCAGCTGTGGCTGAGCCGGGAGCGTGCGCACGTGCAGAGAGACCTTCCTTAAGTGAGCCGCTGCCCGCCCCAAGCGCACCTTTCCTGAGCTTTGGCACTTGCTTGAGGAGGGTCTCCCTGCGTGTGCGCACGCTCCCGGCTCATCCACAGCTGGCCTTGGTGTCCTGAGAGGAGGAGGGGGAAGAGGGTCGCCTGAGTACAGGAATGAAGCTGCCTTGTACCTGCCTTCACGCCACATTTGCACATAAGGCACCCTTCGCTTCCTGCCACTTCAGGCTGGAGTCCAAAAAAGAAATGAGGGGCGGGGCCAACCAGTGATGGGATAGGAAGGGAAACTCCTCACTTTGAAATGGCAATACAAATCCCCAAGGTAATTACTATTTATGTTGAGTAACATATTGCTTTGGCAATTCACATGACTTCCTAATATGCAACTATTACACATCCACATGAACTTTTCAATTGCCTCAACAGAGTTAAAGTTACACCCTCAGGAAAGAAACATGCGTGTTCTCTCTCTCTCTCCCTCCGCGCTCGGCTGAAGAGCTGCCGGGGGTGGGTGATGACATGGCAAAGCGATGGCCGGAGCATTAGTGCAGGAGAGAAGCCACGTCCTGTTAAGACCCTCCTAAGCGAGCGGCCACCCACCCCGCACACGCATTTGCTGCACTTTGGCACTTGCTTGAGGAGGATTTCCCTGCTAATGCGAATGCTCCCGGCTCAGCCACAGCCGGCCAGGGAATTACGAGAGGAGGGGGGAGGAGGATGGTCACCCAAAGGGAAGGGGGAGAGAGACACACACACACACATAGACACACACAGGGAGTGATACACAGAGAGGGGGTGAAAGAGGGTAAGAGGGGGAGAGAGAGAGATACAGTGGGAGAGAGACACGGGGGAGAGAGGGGAAGATAGGGACAGACACAGAGATACAGAAAGTGGGGGGAGAGAGGGGGAGGGGGAGAGAGACATAGAGAATAGTTTTGTGGCTGGGTAGGCATGGCTAGGTGGTCATGTGACTGGATGGGAGTGAGTGACATCGAGTTGACCACGCCCAGTCAGGGTTTGTGGCTCCCAGTGTGTTTTTTTTTCTGTAGGAAACGGATCCAAGTGGCTCTTTGAGTATTTAAGGTTGCTGACCCCTGGATTAAGGAAAAGGCTGTTATTAATCTCTTATAGCTACAGTTTAGATTGGCATAAGCTTAGTGGAAGAACTATGAGGTTCACTTAGTTGTTTTATACAAAGGGCAACCCATTATTTCTGAGAACCAGGCAGAAAGGAAGATGTTCTGTTCCATTGTTTACAGCTTAGAAACTGGATGGTGTTATGAAGGTGTCTTCCATAAACTGCTGAAAATGCTTTTGATCACTCCTGAATATACTGCTCATTCATCCAAATGAATATTCCCCTTTTGGAGGCTGGAAGTTGGAGGAGCATTAAATATGAAAGCATAAGCTTTTATTTGTATTTAGTACCACAAAGTTATTAGTCTCACTGCTATGCATAGGATATTGATGAAAAATATGTCCTGAAGGTTTTAATTTAGCCTCATGAGAAACACTCTAAAAGATTCTCAAATCTACCTCAGTAGGATGTTGAATGCCATCTGACTTGAGGGGCCCATTATCCAGCATTATATAGCTGCTGATATTAGAAGCTGCAGTGAAGAATTATAGTGAAAACATGGAACATAAGCAGCATGAACATGGGAAAACTCAACACAGTGAAAGAGAAAATAAATCGGCCACAAGCTGACATCTGAGGCATCAGAGAATTAAGATGGACTAGGATTGGACATAGAAAATCACATTATTACTCTGGGCACAAAAAAACCCCAAACAAAGAAAGAAGGAATAGCATTACTTTTATAACCAGTAGAGATATAGCAAGAACAAGACTTAACTGCAATGCGATCAGTGACCTAACAATGCAATTAAACTTTTGTTGTTGTTAGTTGCGAAGTTGTGTCTGACCCATCGCGACCCCATGGACAACTTCCCTCCAGGCCTTCCTGTCCTCTACCATCCCCCAGAGACCATTTAAGCTCACGCCAACTGCTTCAGTGACTCCAGCCAGCCAGCTCCTTCTCTGCCATTCCCTTCTTCTTTTGCCCTCAATCGTTCCCAGCATTAGCTCTTCTCCATTGAGTCCTTCCTTCTCATTAAGTGGCCAAAGTATTTCAGTTTCATCTTCAGGATCTGGTCTTCTAAAGAGCAGTCAGGGTTGATCTCCTCTAGGACTGACCGGTTTGATCGCCTTGCAATCCAAGGGAGGCTGATAAGTTCAACATGAAATTGACAAAAATATGCAAGCAAGATGTATGCCATTTGTTGTTGGAATGACTGGAATGCCAAAGTTGGAAATATTAAGGAAGAAAATAAAGTGTGGTCCAACAAAATGAAATAATGTAGCAGAATGACTTACCAACTTCTATGAATCAATGATTTTTTTCCCAAAACCACACACATGGATACACAAATACTGGCATTACAAGACATTACCATACCACTCCTTGTATCATTACCATATGGAGTATACAGAAATCAAGTTGACTATATTACTGATACAAAGAGGTGGAGAAAGTCAGCTACAACAGTAAAGACATAATCAATGATTGATGGTGAAGTGGATCATAAACATCACATGTGCAAATACCAAGTTAAGCTAAAACAGCAGCAGAAGAAAGCCAATCATTTTCCATGATCTTATTTTGACTAGATATAATCCATTTTCAAACAGAATTTCCAGAATCACTTTGAAGTCCTACATCTCATTGACAGGGAAACAGGGAAACTGGTGCTGAAATCAGAGAAGTTCCTAAGAATAAATGTAAAAGAGATTACCAGAGACCAAGAAGCGAAAGAAAGAAAGCTGGATGTTAAAACAAATGGTGGAAATTACTAAAAAGAGAAGTGAAGCCAAAGCCAAGAAAGACAAAAGATATCAGAAGAGAACTTGACAAAGAATTTCTATTGTGTTTCCCTGAAACGAAGACGGTGTCCCGATAATAAGCCCAATTGGGCTTTTGAGTGCATGTGCTAAAATAAGCCCCTCCCTGAAAATAAGCCCCTCCTAATACTTAGACGCATGCGCAACTGCCACGCAAACAACATGATGTGAGGTGAGGTGAGGCTGGGGGGGGGGGGAAGGGAGGGGGAACATGCCCCATGCACTCCTGCCATCCACGCAGAACCTGCAAACCCTAGCTTGCGTGCCCCTTCTCTTAGTGGCAAGTTGGATGCACTGCTGCCACTCGGGAGAAGAAGAAGAAGAGAGGAGGTGCTGTGAGAGAGAGCCCATTTCTGACGTTTTTTTTCTCCTGGGCTGCGGCAGTGCATTCAGCTTCCCGAATCTGGCTTGCCGATCTCAGCTGGCGAGGGAGTGTGGCAGGTGGGGAGGGGTGAGGCGGCGGAGAAGCAAGACGCATGGAGCAAGACGGGACTCCACTAAGTGAAGGGGCACGTGAGCTAGGGTTTGCAGGAGCGGCCTCCATGAGGCCGTTCCGCGTGGATGGCAGGGGTGTGGGGGGCATGTTCCCTCCCTTCACGCCCCCCCGCCTCACCTCCTCACCTTGTGCTGTTTGCATGGGAAGTAACGAAAAAGCTGCCATGATTGCTGGAGGCAGCGGCCTGAGCAGCACTGGCGAAGCAGCCGGTCAGCACTCCAGGGCCAAGGTTTAGGGATAAGACCCCGATAATAAGGCCAAGGCTATATTTCAGGGGTCAAAAGAAAATAAGACCCTGTCTTATTTTCGGGGAAACACGATAGGTGCTGTTAGAAGAACAGTATTGTAAAGACATTGAAGTTTGAAATAGACATTGAATAACAAGAAAAGATCTCAGAATTTCCAAAGGATTTTAGAACTCTGAAGAAGGTTCCAAACTTGAATTGGTATGCTAAGGACACAATTGAACAGACAGTAATTAATTCGCAGAAGATCAAAAAAAGATAGAAGGCATCTAAGGAGCCTATGAAATCCTGTACACTAGAAATGACAGCAACAGGATAATTTAGAAGATAATTCCTACTTACAAGAATTTCTACAGGTAATCCTTGGGTTATGATGGCAATTGTCAAATCAGGATAACATAATTTACAGTATTACATCATAATTAAGGCTGAATCAACATGCCCTTTGATGCTATATTACTATGTGGGATTGTTAATGGAAAGTTATTGATGGTAACTATTCTTCCAGGATCAGCCACCAAATTAATTCATTTATTTATTCCATTCACTCATTCTATAGTTCTCCCCTCCAGTTTGCTGTAAAGTCATAAACTATAAGCCTATATTTAAACAAACGTTCACTTTTCATACTACTAACTATGAATTGTATAATAAACATTTAAATGGTGACATCTTTTCCCTTACAGCCCAGAAGAAGAATCTTCCTCATCCTCAAGTGATGAGGATGACGATGACAGAAAACAAACTGATGAATTATTAGGAAAAGTTGTATGTGTAGAAACTGTTAGTACGGATAAAAAGAAAAATATTTGGTTTCCAGCTTTGGTAAGTACTTACTTTCTGTATTGTTTAATTTTTTTTTTTTGAAAAGATAATAGTCCTAGAAATAAGATTGCAATTTTAGTTGCAATCTTTAATAAATCAGTGCTTTGATACAAAACAAATAAATGCAGAATAGCACACAAATTATTATATATGCAGGAGACTACATTGATAAAGGCCTTATTTTAACCTTTTGATGCTTAAATTGTAAATATGTAAATTGGTGTTTGTATGTACTCAATAGAGTGTGTATGTTTATGAAAAATGGAACCCTATTTTGACTCATTTTCTTTTTAAAATACTCTATTAACATTTTTTTGCTGTTGGTCCATCAAGCCTCATAGATGATGTGAAAAGGCAAAATCTGCTGTATTATGATACAAAACTTATATTTTGGTGGAATGCTTATATTCAGAGATGGTGTAACCTGGGATGCTGGGATGCAAATAGTAGGATGAGCTTTTAGGATTGTGTTGCAGATGCAGTCCCAAAAGAAATGACTTCATGCATATACCATACACATAGATGATGTGAGGAGGCCCTTGAAACAGCTGCACCAAGCCTTGAGATGAATTCAGAGAGATGCTTTAATCACTTTACACAGCTTTATTAATTACTGGCTTTATATCTTGCTTGTGGTTTTCCCATGGTTAAAAGCAGGTGCTGAGTTAGGCAAAAGACGTTTCTTACATTTTAGGTTATTATGTAATAATAAGAGGGTGTCATTAGTAGAAATAAAGAAGTAGGCCAAATAAGTATATTTTATGCTACTGAGAGTTGGATAAATTGATCAGTAAGAAGACAGCAACAGTAGTAAGGGATAAGTAGAACTTCTTTCTGTTTTTTGAGATGATCTTAAAAGCTATCATGCCATTGCCATATCCACTGGGAGGTGGCAGATAAATAAAATTTCTGCTAATATAGAACAGAGATTTGCAGACTAGAAGAAAAATCCTGGAGTACATTTTTACAAGTCATTTTGCTTTAGTCTTAGAACACAAAATTGAAGCATTATCATATATACTAGGTCCTTCATGAATCAGACTTCTAAGTTTGGTAACTTGACTTTATAATCATCAAGTAATAGTAGGGTTGTATGGCTGGAATTTTAATTTAGATTAACCAGGATCTTACAGTTATATACTGTATATGCTGCTATGAAATAGTTAGTAAAATTTAAAATATAGCTCAATAGACTTGAAATTACAGCAAATTGTCCATAGTGTCCAGAAATGTATTAAATGCTGGCAGAAATATCATATGCATCTGAGGATTGGCACATGTTGAGATAGCTTACTAACATACCTTTATTTGTGTCTAACTTCCACATCTGCACCATCCAGAAAAGTAGGGATTTATTATTATTATTATTATTATTATTATTATTATTATTATTATTATTTTGTGCTGAATTTTGGAGTAGAGATTGCAAGAGACTTTTTTCTGCTTCACTTTACATCAGGGTTTGGTGAGAGGGAATTCCACTTAAAGGAATGCAGTTTGTTTTCTTGTTTGAAAAGCAGGCAAAAGTAAAAGAAAATACCCTTCTGCTCAAACTCATGCTGCATCCAGAGGCAGACAACCTCTTTTCTCTCAATCAACACAGGGCTTTTAGGAAAATAGAAGCTGCAGTGCCTCAAGTTTCTTCTTTTTTCACTTCTCAGATAAAATTACTTTTCCTCCTCTGCTGTGTTATTGTCAGATGGCAGAGGATGATGGAGGCCAAGGGTTTTGTTTTTCATGCAGGAAACAATTTAAGACCCCACTCCTCCCGAATTACTTGAAATATGTAGAGTAGTTGGAAAAGGGTTTTTTTGTATGCTGAACATCCATGTCAATAAGAACCAAATGTGTAGACCTTACGATATGCATACAAATACATTTTTGTGATCTCTTACATAATATTAAATAAATTTTCTGTAATAATTAAATAAGTCTTTTTATTTCTTTACAGGTGGTTTGTCCAGATTGTAGTGATGAAGTTGCAGTAAAGAAAGATAATGTTCTTGTTCGTTCTTTCAAGGATGGCAAGTTGTGAGTGAAAATGTTTGATTTAATTACTATTTGTCTAAATACTATGCTGTAACTAGCAGAGATGGACACAGATTTGTTTTATTCATGAGAATGAAGGAGAGGGATAGAATGAACAAAATAATTCTGCATCTTGCCCTCTACTTCACAGAGAATATGGATATATGAATACAGAATATAGTGTGCCATTTTGTGGTAATATTGAAGTGCATGGATAGAATATTCCTACAATTTAAATATTTTTCTGCTGTAGGATTTCTAAACAAAATGTTGTTATTCCCTTGTATAATATGCTTGTAAATAATTATAATAACAACTGTGGTATTATTTTAATCAGTTTGAAAACTGCCATACATGCCGTAGTCATCTATTTATAATCATAATTGAGACCAGAATTTCCATTGCTGAGCAAGGTGGTTGCTAAGTAGTTGCGCCCAATTTTATGACCTTCTTGCCAGGTTTTGCTTTGTTGTTAAGTGAATCACTGCAGTTGTTAAGTGAATCACACGGTTTAAGCAAATCTGGCTCCCCCTTTTGATTTAAAATCATGGAGCTCTGCAGCTATTATACGATTTCAGAAAAAGAAGCTGATTCTATTTCTGATTCTCATTAGCATGTGGGTTACCCAGCCTAGGACACCACGGTCCAGTCATGTAGTCTTTCAGTAAATTCCATTGAATTGAATTGATTTTAGTGTAGTTTGTTGTTAAGAAACCTATTTTGAAGTAGATATAAATATAATTGTTCTACTAGGCAGTTATCTGTGTTTCATCATTAGGAAAACTGGGTGTTCCCCTTCCTGTTTTTTCATTCTGAGTTTGGATTTATAGCTTATATTTTTATTCTTCTTTTTTAAGAAAACATTTTTGCACTGTTTAAAATTGCAGATCATAAATCTTAAATTTCCTTTTCTAGCAATAACTGACAAGATCTACACAAAGTAGTTTAAGACATAAGGTTTTTTCCAAAAAGTTTTCAATTTTTTAAAAAATTCCTGTTTGCTTTGTACTAGTAGGAGATCCACATTTTATGGATAATTAATAATAGAAGAGTGCTTCATTTAAATGAAGATTGCTTTATTGTCAAAATACTTAAAATATTTATTTTTTAAAATACTGTTATCGTAATTTGTTTAGCTCTTCAGTACCAAGGAAAGATGTACGGGAAATTAGTGAGTCTTCACCAAAACCTGATGCTGCATTAAAACAAGGTAAAAATCAACTTCAAAATTAGAAAAGAGGGACTATGTTTAATCTCAATTTATAATTAGCTAGAAAAGAAATGATTTAGGGTGAGACAAAACTGCGAATTCTGAAAAATGTTTCCAGCAATGTTAAGAATACCATGAATCAATATTTTATTTTATTATTTTATATTATTTTATTATTTTTTCTCTACCTTTTAATCAGAATTTCTTTACAAGTGTGGATGTTGGTCTGCCTTCTATATTAGCATTGGAGGCAAGGGCCACATAGAGTGCCTTATGAGAGAAAATAGGTAGTATTGTTCTGAGACATGGAGAAAAAAAATCGGATGCCAAAATCTAAATATTAACCTTTTCCTGGATTGAGTGGATTGGAGTTTCTTTGTTTTTAAAACTGCATCATGCCTATTTTAGATTTTAGACTACAACTTTTATGTGCTTCCTGTCCCAAAATGACAGAAAATTATGCCAGGAGTTTTCAGTGGTTGTGCTGCCTACTTTCACCATTAAATAAAAGAGTAGTCTATCAAACCTTGATACTATATCTAAGTTTAATGCATAATTAAAAGCAGAGAGAACCAATAGTAGAAATGAAGCTATAGTAATTAAAGAATTTAAACATTTTAATGCTTAAAAACAATTTGAGAAACTCTATGCCTAGCCATTATATTTATGCCAAAAGCAGTGTCTTTAATCGGTTCCTTAAAAGATGATCAAACATAGCAAGGTTAGTAACTACAACTGAAAAAGCCATATTCTTTATTGCTGTCAATTGTACTTTAGGAAACTGAAGAATTTTAATTAGTAACTTTGATCTTTGTAATAAGTGATATTTTTATGGAATGAAGTATTTCTTCAGGTGCTTGAGTCCCTGTAGCCATTTAGAATTTTATTCTGCATAATGAGGACATTGTGTTTGAATAGAAGAAACTCTGACTTAAATTAATTATGGGTAAGAACTTGCAAGCAAACTAGGAAATGGAAAACAAGTCAAACAAAGGCATACATTATATTTGCCTTGTTTAGAAACTCTTTAAATTTTTTAAAATTCAGACATAAGCTATTGTTAAACATTTTTTAATTTGTTCATTCACACTTTGTTCATTTGACTCATTCATACAGTTAAATAGACAAAAAGAAAAACCATATTAAGTCTTTAAGGGAGGTCATTCTATTCTAATAAAATTAATTTATTTACAGCTTTTGATCAGGCCTTAGAGTTCTGTAAAAATAGAACTGTTCCTAGTAATTGGAAGACCGAGTTGAAAGAAGAAAGTTCCAGTAGTGAAGCAGAAGAAGAGGATGAAGATGAAAAGGACAAAGAAGATAATAGTAGTGAAGAAGAGGCAAGTATAACCTTATAGTGTAATAAGTTTGTATTACACTGCATGTGTCAAAATTTGTATTTGTAAATCTTGCTAGTCATTTCTGTCAAGCTTCATACAAGCAGTAGCGAAAATCAGTATTTGATCAAAGGAGAATTCAGGGAAATTCTCTGTCACTTGGAGAAATATACCTGGCTGCTTTATTCAGGAATAATAGCTTGAATAATAGAAGGAATATGTAAATATAGAGCTAATGAAGTCATCATTGCAATCATAGTTATGGGTTGAGGTCTTGAAGCATCAGCAAATGTTTATCAGATTGAAATCACAATAAACCATATTGTTTTTTAAAGGAGAAATTTTTTCCCCCAATTCACAGCTTTAATCAAATAACATTTAACAGATTAAATTGCATTTAGTCAGATGTAATTGTACCAGAGTGTTCGTTTTGGCACTCTAAAGCTTCAGTCCTGTAGAAACTTTCCTAAGAGTAATTCCAAGAAAGTAATACTAATTTCTCAGTAGAACTTCATAAGATTGTAATTTTTGTATGTATTAAATTTTCTATATTTTCCCACAGTGGAACTCTAAATGTTTTGAAATAAAATAGATTTGAAAAAAGAATATTAGTTTAAAGATAAAAAACAATATTGAACTTTAGAGTAAAACATAATAGTATGATGATGATATTTTATTTCCTTGTTGGTTTTTGAGATAGCAGGCTAATTCAATTTCTTTATTTATTTCATTAGGAAGAAATAGAACCCTTTCCTGAAGAAAGAGAGAACTTTCTGCAACAACTCTATAAATTCATGGAAGATAGAGGTGAGCATTTCATTAGCACTTCATTAAGTTTACTGTACAGCTTGTTTAATTGTATGAGAATTTAATATAGTTATGAATCACATTGCTTTTCATTCCTAGTAATTGAGTGTGTTCCTTTTTAAGATTTGCATTCTTAGTTAATAAAGTATATATAGGAATCAAAGGTAATTACAAATATTTAGCATGTAGTGTTACAAGGCAGCTTACTGTTAAAGTTACACTTTAAAACATTAATTTAAAAGGCTATATATTTTTTAAAAAAACCTCTCAAATGTATTTATATAATGTCTAAACAACTTCTAGGTTATCAAAATCAACCGTGGTCCACCAAGCGGTACTGTCACCTATCAAGTGACTTTTTCCCAATTGTTGCAGACCTAAGCAGGCAACTAAAATAGATTATCCTTGCTAGCTCCAATATTTGGCAAATAAAAAATTATGGGGGCAGGAAGGAAATTCATCCATGGAATTCTGATTTCTTCCTCCTCTGAGGTCTTCCCATGGTCCAGATCAGATGGGATGTTGGCAAGAATATTGTAGGACAAATATGAATTCTCTGGTTATTTGCCAAATGCACATTAGCAAACACAGAATGTTAGCCAAAATTTCCAGTAACACGACTTTGTGTTAGTTTTGCAAATGTTTTTTTATCATAAGGTTTCTATTAAGTTCTGCTAAGCTCTATTTTGTTCTGACCACCTCTGGACTTCATAGGTCCAAGTTTCTGTAATTATTTGGAAAATTATTTTATTATAAATATTGTTATGTAGCTTAATTGGGAAGACAAAGCTTTAGTTGAATTCTCTACACATTTATTTGGAATAAGTAGCACCGAACATGGTTGTGATTATTTTTGGCTAAATATGCATAGAATATATGTTACATAATTTTTGTGTGAGACTAAAGTTCTAAATTGATTTATTTTCAGTAATATGAAGAATTCTCACCATGCTCAAGCACTTAATTCTAAATACTTTCTTTCATAGGGACTCCTATTAATAAACGACCTGTCCTTGGATATAGAAATTTGAATCTCTTCAAATTATTCAGACTTGTTCATAAACTTGGAGGATTTGATAATGTAAGTACTATAAACTATGGTAAAAAGAAAAAAATAATGATCTAAAATAACAATAATAGTGTCACTTTATAAAGCTATTAAAAGAGTTGTATAGAAGATGAGAACACAACTTTTAAGTGCAGTTGTGTATATTTGTTTTTCTTATGGAAAGAATGTTTTCTTATGGAAAAAATGTATTCGAATAACATTTTCCCACTTGTGCTAGATACATTTATAGAGATAACTCTATATACCACAAAAATGTCATTAAACAAATACTACAAAATGCAATCCTTTTTATATATGAAATAAGTCCTAGCACTAGAAGAATAACATCTAAAGGCACATTAAAGTACAAAGATATTTTTGCAGCAAAGTTGTGGCTTATGGAATATGGGCTGATTGTATTTTGTGTTTTTTGCAAGCATAGCAATTGCCTAGATTTTCTTCTAAATCTTGAATGCCTGCGAGTAATACAAATATTGTAGGCAAACATGTTGTTGGCCTATAGCTGTGATGGCGAACCTATGGCATGTGTGCCACAGGTGGCACGCAGCTCCCACTCTATGGGCACACGAGCCGTCACCCCAGTTCAGCTCCGCCGTGCTTGTGCGCATGCCTCTCCATATGTGTGGGGACGCACATGTGCATGTGCGGGGTGCATGCCGGGGGCTGCATGTGCATTGCATTTGGGGGGTTTGGCTGCTTTGGGCACTCAATGCAGAAAAGATTAGTCATCACTGGCCTATAGTTTCCTATGTTGTCTCTTTTGCTGGTTTTTTTTAGACTCAGCTAGGTTTTGTCAATTATTAATAAGCTGCTGATCTCACCTTTTTGCAATACTTCATTAAGATGTTTAGCTCTAATTGGATGCAAGGTAATGAGCTATTCGAGGCAATTCTTCAGTTTGTTTGCAGAGGCTGCTATTATTGTTGTTATTATTACATATATCCCATATATTGTTTACCGATATCCAAAATTGATATTGTACAGTAGTGAATTATTATGTATAATTTAATTTATGATAATGGCATTTAATTGATACTTCCTTAAAAATATTAAGTAAATAAATGATAGAATTGATATCTAATATACAGGTAGTCCTCAACTTATGACCACAATTGAGTCCAACATTTCCTTGGATGAGCAAGGCAGTTGTTAAATGAGTTTTGCCCCATTTTACCTTTTTTTTTGTCACAGTTGTTAAACAAATCACTGCAGTTCGTAAGTGAATTATGCAGTCATTTAGCAAATCTGGCTTTGCCTGTTGACAGCTGGCTGTGAAGTTTACATATGATGATCACATAACCTCACCGCCCTGCAAATGTTATAAATTCATGCTGGTTGCCAAGCATCCATATTTTAATTATGTGACTTTAGGGGTGATGCAAGAGTCATAAATGTGAAAAACTGTTATAAGTCAACTTTTTCAGTATCTTTGTAACTTTGAACGGTCACTAAACAAATTGTTGTAAGTCAAGGACTACTTGTATATCATTTATTGGAAACATAGTTACTGTGCTTGTGGCAGTCCATTAATAAATTTTATTGAAAAGTGAGAAGATCAAGAAATTTCAAAATTTAAGTTGTATTATGGTTTAGATTTCACTTTTAATAGCTTCATGATTCTGTTGAGGAGGTAAGATTTGCTCATGTATCTAAGAATAATAACCTGCAAATACTGAGTAGATTAAAGGTAAGATTCTTAAGAGTGTGATTAAAATGGATAACATATAAGTGGTTTATTGGATATAATACTAACATCACAATTTGTGAAATAGGGCTTGCATGGATTAATTTAAAGCAGTGAAATGACTACTAAGTGGGATTTAAAATGGCAGCTCCAATGATAATTTGCAGCTATAATGTATTCAGTATTATTGAATTCATTAATTTAAAAATGAATCTGAAATTAAGAGTTACATATTCTTACCTATAGCAATGAAAACCTATTTTACACCCTACAAAATCAGAATTTATTTTAATAAATAAAATATTTAAATATATAAAATAGATGCTTGAAATAAATCTTAATTCAGGGTTACCAATTCATTGATTAATTTATATGCAATTTAAAATGGAATCTAGTAATCACTTAGATATAACATATATTCTTTGATAAGGTAAGACTATTGATAGGAAGAAAAGTCTTAGTTTAAATTGTAATGAATGGAGATAACAGCCAGTAGAATTGGATATGTCTTCTTGAAGCAACCAGCAGGCCTTTAGGCAAAAATGTCTAAACTTCTTTTCTGGTGTTTGTTTGTTTTGGAAAAGGAAAGATTAGTCATAGCTTCTCCAAATAATTTGTAAATCCAGCTTTCAAACAACAGAGGAATGATATATAAAAGGGAAGTAGTTAGTCATTTAATATAATTGCTTAAATTGGCCTTTGTTATAAATGTTACTATAATTAAAGCTGTTGAATCATTAATAACAAAGCTAAAAAAGCTAAAATTATTTAACTGTCATGTAATATTTGAGGAACTTATATAAATGAATTCACATGTACCTAACTGGCTAATTCTTTTAAAAAAAGTTTGTTTTTGTTCATTCTCATCAGTATGTTCTGCTACCTACTGACACGCTGTTCCTGTATAACATAGATATCACTGGATTCTAGTGATATGTCTCAGTAAACTGTATAATTTAGGCTACCTTTCTTTTATTCCAAGCCACTTTCATTTATTTGGGTAATGTGTCATCTGCGACAGGAAAGATGATGCATGAAAAATTGATAATCCTAGTTTCCTAATTAATTTAAAACATTTATATTACTGCCCATCTTAAACCAAACTCTGAGTGGTTCACAATGCCAAAATAAAAGCAGTATGTATCAGCAATAAAATAAAACACAATAAAACAAAGAACAACAATAAAGACCTGTCACTATAGCTAAATTTTCCCTTGCAGCCCAACAAATTTGTCCCATGCCAGTTTCACTTGGAGGAAAAGACTTAAGTGAATTTCAAAAATAAATATGGGGGCCTGCTGGACCTCAAGGGGAAGGGTGTTCCATTGGGCAGGGGCTAATATGGAAAAGGCACACTTCTTAGATCCCATGTGATGGCAACATTTAAGGGAAGGGACCAGGAGCATGCCTACCCTATCCGATCTGGATGGGCAAGCAAATGTCTTCAGAGAGAGGCAGTCTTATAAATAAATTGCCCTTTATTTAATTTAGATGTACAAAATTTTGATATAGTAGACAATATAGGTAGTCGAATTAAATCCTTTCACTTATAAACCTGTTTCATCCCTTTCCCCCTCTATTCTAGAGCATTTCTAGAATAGGGCAGTTCATATTTGGAAAGCGGTAGCTATTCAAAAACTGAAGGGAAGGCTATTCATATTATATTTTACAGATTGAAAGTGGAGCTGTCTGGAAGCAAGTATATCAGGACCTTGGTATCCCCGTCTTGAATTCTGCTGCTGGATATAATGTTAAATGTGCTTACAAAAAGTAAGTAATTAATGTAACACTGAATGCTTCAGTTTGGCACTCAGAAATGAATTTCTTTACCTCATTCAAAAGTGCATTCAGTTGTACAGGTAGTCCTCAATTTACAGTCATTCATTTAGTGACTATTTGAAATTGTAATGGCGCTAAAAAAAAGTGACATGCCCATTTTTCACACTTATGACCATTGCAACATCCCCATGGCCACGTGATCAAAATTCAGACTTTTGGCAACTGACATGTATTTATGACTGTTGCAGAATGCCAGGCTCATGGGATCACCTTTTACAAATTTCTGACAAGCAAAGTCAAGAAGCCAGATTCACTTAACAATTGTGATACTAAATTAACAACTGCAGTGATTCACTTGACAACTATGGCAAGAAAGGTCATAAAATGGAGGAAAACTCACTTAGCAACTGTTGCTTAGCAACAGAAATTTTGCGCTTAATTGTGATCGTAAGTTGAGGACTGCCTGTTTTTGATTCTAAAGCTGTCCTAGACATTTGCACATGTTTTTAAGCTTTTACTAATCTCAGTCTTCTATCCTTAAGCCATTTATCTGGACCTTTTGTGACTCATTCCTAAACTACTGTAATTTAACTAATGAATTCATATCATCAAAGTGTAATTGTAAAGCAAACTAATGCAAACTGATTTTGCTTGTTGCTGTCATCTTTTAGATATCTCTATGGCTTTGAAGAATACTGCACATCAGCTAATGTTGAATTTAAAATGGCACTGCCAGAGAAAACACCAAGCAAACCCTGTAAGGAGCATGAACAAGAGGTGAAAAAACAGGAAGAAGTTGAGCTAAATATAAAAGAAACAAAGGTGAAAAATGAAGAAAAAGATGACGAAATAACAGCAATGAACAAACAAGTCATACTAACTGAGAATGAGAATGAAAAAAAAGAAAATGATAAAACCTCTTCTTTGGTAAGGGCTGCCTCCCCCGTCCCCCCCCTCCCCAAGTTCGGCTTTAGTGCACAAATTATTTTTTATTAAACATCTCAGGGAATGAATGGCATTTGCAGAGTTAAATGCTTCAATTTATTTTGGACAAAACAGATCTTTGGAGGATTTATTAATCAAAATATTTACACTTCTGAATAAATATTAGCTTTTAAGAGAAACACTTTTATAAGGCCAAATCACAGGTTATTTGTGCCTTTACCAGCTTAACAATACTTTTAAAATGTTATTTAGAACCTTTTGGATTCCATACTACCTGCACAAATTATATGCATGTGCTATATTTAAATATGGATAGATTTGCATAATTTATATTTGATTAGTGTACTTTTTAGATAGTGTAGAATCACAGATTGTAACATTTTTTCTGTTCAAAGTTTAAAAGGGGGGAAAGTAAACAGGCAGCTTTTAAATTAGAAAAGATTTGGGACTTGGAATTACTTCATTAATCTAATCTTGCAGTTGTTATTTATGTTTTAACAAGACAAATATTAATCACAGCATGGTGTTATTGTGTAATCAACAACTAATGTATCATACTAATGATACTTGCAGTACAAGTGAAGGATAAATATATCCATATTAGCTAGTTATTTTCCAGAACAAGAACATGTTCTTCTTTTGTATTCCTCACACTGGAAGAGAAATGCAGGAATCATTCCAGAAAAAAACATTAAATCCTTATATAAATTTTAGGGAGAAGTTTAAAACTACTATTAGTAGAGTTACCATACAAGTAATTCTATTGGTGGAAAGTGAAGTTTCAATTAGTATATAAAGGCCTAGTTGTGTGGTGATGGAGACATGGGGAAAAGTTAGGAAAAATAAAAATAACACTATTTCCAAAGGCCCAAATGATATTTTGAGATCTAGTTTGGTACGATATTAAAGATTAGATTAGAAACTACGAGTTCTGGGCCTTTCTTAGACATGAAAGCCAGCTGTGGGACTTTGGGCCAGCCACTGTTTCTCAGTTCAACCAATGTCACAGGAGAAAAATGGGAGTATTAAGTTTGTCATCTTCAGTTATATATTTAAAAAGTCAGGGTAAATAATAAAACTGAATATTGACATATATTAATACTGATTTATCTTACAGGTGGTCTTTGTTTAATGATCACTCATTCAACACACATTTGAACTTTAAATGGTGCTGAGTGAATTGTAGTTACAACCAGACTGTACAGCTGTGTCCCAATATCATGTGATTGTCATTTGCAACCTACTCTGCTGGCTTTCCACAACCAAAGTGAATGAAGCCAGCATGAAGTTGCAGTCACTTGAGGTCTTTACTTAACAACCTACAAATTCCTTGTTTAACAGCAACTGTGACTTTTGGAACTGTTGTTGCTAAGTGATGCACTTAGAAAATGTTTTTTCTATTTATGGCTACATCACCTAACAATGGAATTTCCTGTCTTAATTAGTGCCATTAAACAAGAACTATTTGTATAGGAATGCTTTCTTTACAACAATCTTCATCAAAAATAAGGGGAAAAGTTAGTATTTAATACTGAGATATATATTATTTTCTGTTCCAAAGAATTGCTATAATTAACTGAAGATTCTGAATTTCCTGTATTCCATTTGGATGTGAATGGGGCAGCAATTGAGTAGTAGCTTGTTTAATGTTCATTCAGAAGACTCTAAGATATTATTGAAATCAAGGCAGTCTTCAAGACGCTTTTGTTTTTGAAGATTAGCCATTGCCTGGGAGGAGCCCCTTCCTTCCTTCCTTCCTTCCTTCCTTCCTTCCTTCCTTCCTTCCTTCCTTCCTTCCTTCCTTCCTTCCCTCCCTCCCTCTCCTTTTCTAATCTTTTCTTTTAATAAAAATAATCTTTTCATGTTGTCTACTGTAAAGAGAAGGGTAACCTTTGGATACAATCATTGCTAATGAAGGATCAATTAGTTTTATAAAAGGACTTTTTATTTTTCAGGGCAATTTTAATTTTGTCAAGTTTATCTTGGGGTAAAGGTTACTGGCAAATATATACAAACATACATGAGTGTAGTTACAACACCCATGAAAAGATAACTTTGCAACCAATTCTCATTGGTTCTTATGACCTTTACCGTGTCTGTCTCTTAGTCACGTGTTCACCATTACAATCTGGTAGTATTGTCCTATGCTTGACCTATGCTGTCCCCCCCCCCCTCGCCCCCAAGGGATTGCTTAAATAAGTTATCTCTTCCTGAACTGCTTTTGTTCACAGCCCAGCACATTCCCTGAAAAGTGCTAATCGCAAGTTAACAAGGTCAGGTCTTTGACCTTAATTAGAGTTAGACCCCTCCCTTGCTGCCTGACACTGACAAAACCCTAATCAGTTTCCCATTGAGGGCTTTTTTGCCCTGTGGGTTCCCTGCTAAGAGTAATGAGTGTGCTAGGCAAACAGCTGATACTAGAACATTCCAATGTGTACAATATGTGCCTGCTTAGTCAGGGACTTGTAATCCCAATGAATGTAAATACAAACATCAATTCTCTTCTTGCTAATTATCCCAGCACTGGGATAAGCATTCCAAAGGGGAGCAGAGTGAGGGAAAAGGGTTATATAACATTTACCCATTTATCTGGTTTCCTTGTGAATCAAGTTCTGGAAGCACTTCCTGCCATTTGGGTCACTCAGCTGTTTGGGTTGTATCCTTCTGATGCTATAAAGCAAAGGAAAACAAGTAAAATCAGAAGCACAATCACAGTCATGTGATTTTCACATTTCACATTAAGCTAAGCAATCACAGTTAGTGATAGCTTAGCTTAATGACCAAGTAGTCTATTCCAATTACGTAGCTCTTTTGATAATAGACTTCTGTCCTATTTCTTGCTTGAGGTCATGTACATCATCCTTTCTTAAAAATGCTGGACAGGGCATCAATTTGCAAGCAAATTTATTTCTAAACATGCAGTTTTTCATATCTAACAATGAAACTGATTCATAAGCATATCCACACAACAGCTTTTTTAACAACAAAACATGAAAATGGACCCCTACTGTGGATGAATAGTAAGGATGTAATGTTAATTAATTGTTGGTTTTTGGTTTCTTTAATTGTGAATGACAACAGTGTTCCTCTTTCATATAGGGAATTAAAAAATGTTTTCAGGAGCCTCCAAATGACCAGGAGAAAGAGTTAACAATAATCATAACAAATGATGAAACCAATCTGGAATGTAAAGAAGACACAGAATGTAAAAATCTGGAAAATCAGAACACCATTCCAGAAACTGAAGAGAGGGAGATATCAAAGTAAGATTCTTTTATTTTATTTTAAATTCTATGAGAGGAGCATGTTTTTTTTAAAGCAGACTTTAACAAGATGTAAATTTTTAAAAACCGTGGAAGGATAGATATCACATTTCTTATCACCATTCTGCCTTACTCAGAAATTTTTGTTGGATATAATTTGTCTGGCTATCCAGTTTATTTGCATCAGTGTTGTAAATGAATTTTTATTCTGGTTTTTGATTAAGAGAAATTCTGTAGGTATTAAGGAGATTGTTGAAGCATTTGCTGAAGTAGTTCTGCTCATTCTTCCACTCCACTCATTGTGTTTGGCTGGTCAGTATTTGACAGAATGAATGATTCAAGTAAAATCACTTGGAAATGAACATAGCAGTATCTGTGATTTTGCTGTCATTTACTAGAGTAGGGACTCTTATCTTTAAGGCATTTAGATTTTGAGAAAGAAAGGACTCCCAGAACTAATGTGTAGGAACTTTTCTGTTCAAATTTTATATTGTATTATTAATAAGACAAGTGAGTTACAGTAATTTCTGAGTTAACTGCACTAACTACCGAATTGTTATTACCTTTTCATAATTACATGTTTCCAGTGATTTTGTTGGTGGAATTTTGAAATTAGGTTGTGACAAAAACCTGCTAAAAAAGTAGGGAGGTTAAGTAAAAGGAGCCTTTTAGAAAATGTACGGAAGCACTGTAGGTATGGAATAAACTTGAGAATCATTTTGGAAAAACTTAAGTTGCCTTGCATACTTTAGAATTCATTAGCATATGCCACCTTTAAATGTAAATGTTTTAACAATGTATCTGTAACCCACAGTAATGTTAAATACAGTGAAACCTCAACTTACTGACGTTTGATAGACTTTACATTTAATGTATATAATGACAAGTTTATGTCATTAACAAAATGATGTCATTGTTTAAATGACTGTACATGACATAATTTGCATCATTAACACCACACAAATTACATAATTTGAGTCATTTCATATAATGTTCTCACATAGATGTGAATAAATATACAATAGACGCAAATGATATAATTTGTATAATCTATGTAATGTCAGTGTGAAAATGACATAATCCAATTATATGATTTATTTAATTAATAAATAATTTAATTAATAATTAAAATGAAGTTTCACTGTATATTGGTACTATACAAATGGTAATGTCTCTTACTAACCCAAAACGTGATGTGACTCCCTTATATTTTTACTAATAAAAATATATTGAATTTCAGCTTTTAAAAAAAGTTATTTTACAGCCCTCAAGGTTTTAGAAAATTCTGGGCATTACATGTAGAAAAGTTGATTCTGGGTTGAATTTCATTATCATACAAATATCATATTACCTATGCATCTAAAATATGTTAGTCATGTGATTGAAATATGCAGTGTCATTCTTGTTTTAGGATATTGGGGCAATAGAGCTGCTCCAGAATGTTTATTTTTATGTGTTTGTGTGCCTGTGTGTATGTATGTGTAGGTGTGTGTGAGAGAGACAGGGAGATACAGTAGAGCAATTTACATTGTCAATGTAGTTGTTTATATGATGTTTTAGCTGAGAAGATACTGCCTCATAGATCATGTTTACACCTCATGTTAACACAGAAAGCATTAGTGATTTGCTTTCAGTGTGCAGTTTTCACTGTTCTTTTGTTCTACTTCAGTTCCATAGATTGCATATATTGGTTTGGTTAGGTAACAAAATGTACTGATGCCATTAAACTTAACAAACTCAAACAATTTTTGTATCTGTGGATGGAACACTGCAAACACAGGATATAGTCATGGAACATAGTCACAGTTTCCTGTGTGGATGTTTTTTCATCAAAGCTTCATTCTTATGCTGGTTAATGATCACAATAAAGTCTTTCATCATCAAAATTTATTTAGGTATAGTATTTGGTAATTAAAAAAACAAGAAAAAGTTGAGAACTTCTTACTAACCTGTTACAACATAAAATACAATTGTAAAATTATTACCATTAGGTTTCTGGCCTTTCAGACGTTTTTACTCAATACTTTCAGAGTAAACATTTTACATCTTTGTTGCAACTTTATGAAAATACATAGGGGAATTCAAAGTTAGGTTTAGGCTGTAATACAATAAAAGCAAGCTTTTGAAACTACACACCTATGAATATTCATTATTGAACCAAAGGTGCTTTTTCAAGAGGCAGCTGGGCTTTCTGGTCCAGTTGCCCCTTAAAAAGCACCTTTGGGACAACGATGACCTGGATGACCAAGAATGACCAATGCCTCCATAGGCATTCATTACTGAATTTTGCAGAATTCTGCTTGATATATTATATTAGATTACAGCATATAACTATGGCGGTCCAATTTTTGTGATTAAATAAAGTTATTTAATCTGATGGGATATAAAAGGATCCTTTTAAAGTTACTATATGATTTTCATAGAACAAAATGATTCAAGGTTATATATACATGTCTATCTATCTATCTATCTATCATCTTATATTTGAAGATTTAGATTTTTTAAATCAGTTTACTAATCTGTGTTCATTTCTAACATTCTGCAACTCTGGTTCATTAATCCCAAGGTCTTCCCTTGTATGTGCATCAGCAAGTTTGTTAATGTACTGTCTGGAACTGTTACCTTTTGACTTATAAATTAGGAAGTTTAGACAAAGGTGCATTATTATCTTATGGGAAAGAGGGGTTTAGTGATTTAATGTAACGTCTCTTAGAAGATATGATAGTTTACTAAAACTAACATTGAAATATATCTGTAATTTCAGATACCTGTAGAAAATTTGCTGGGAATTCATAAAAACAATATAAAATTTACTATCTCGATAATCTTTCAGTAACTGCTTCATTCTGGAAATTAATAATAGTATGTTTGCATTGAAGGGACTTATTGAAGTGAAGTTTGTGTTACTCTGTTACAATTAAAATAGTTGAAATTGCAAAATGTTCTTTACTACTAGTTTTTGAATAATGCCAGCATCTGGAGATTGACTTATTCTATTCTATTACTCTGCATGGGCTGCATTTTAAAGGACAGGAACTTTTAATGTTGTGTGACCAGTATTTATTTAAGTCTCTTTTAAGGATTGGTTATATAATATTAGGTTCCTACAATGATATGCTTGGGAATATACTTCCCTATTTCATCTCTCATTTCTAGAAAATAATTATACACTACCCATTTTAGCTGAGATTTTAATCCTCATGTTTGTACCAATGCTAAGTATAGTTAATACTAGAGCTTACAAATTCTGATGATTTATCATAGATAATAATAATAATAATAATAATAATAATAATAATAATAATAATAATAATAATTTTATTTATATACCGCCCTTCTCCTGAAGGACTCGGGCCGGTGTACAGCCAGAATTAAAATATAAATATACAATATTATAGTTAAAATTAATTAAAATCATTAAATAGTTTTGGCCAAATTTTAAAACCCAAAATTAAAATCCAATTTAAAACCATTCAGTTAGACAGCCCCGCCTGTCGGAACAGTAGGGTCTTGAGGGCACAGCGAAAGACCCAGAGATCAGAGATGCTACGAATATCTGGGGGCAATTCATTCCAAAGGGCAGGAGCTCCGACAGAGAAGGCTCTCCTCCTGGGTGTTGCCAGCCGACATAACTTGGCCGACGGTACCTTGAGGAGTCCCTCTCTATGGGAGCGAACTGGTCGGTGGGAGGCTGTTGGTGGCAGAAGGCGGTCCCGTAGATATCCTCGTCCTATGCCATGGAGCACTTTAAAGGTGGTGAGCAACACCTTGAATTGCACATTCTGGACCAGTTGGAGTCTCCGAATGCTCTTCAAGGGGAGCCCCATGTAGAGAGCATTACAATAGTCCAGACGGGAGGTGACGAGGGCGTGAGTGACCGTGCGCAAGGCATCCTGGTCCAGAAAGGGACGCAACTGGCAGATCAGGTGAACCTGATAAAAAGCCCCCCTGGCTACGGCCGTCATATGCTCTTCTAAAGACAACCATGAGTCCAGGAGGACACCCAGATTGTGGGCCCTCTCTGTTGGGGGGGGGGCAAAGATTCACCTCCAATAGTCAGCGATGGCACCAGCTGACTATACCGGGACGCTGGGAGCCACAGCCACTCAGTCTTGGAAGGGTTGAGCTTGAGCCTATTTCTCCCCATCCAGACCCGCACGACCTCCAGGCAGTGGGATATCACATCAAGGGCATCATTGGGGTGGTTTGGGGTGGAGATGTACAGCTGAGTGTCATCAGTGTACTGGTGGACTCTCACCCCAAAACCACGAATGATCTCACCCAGCGGCTTCACATAAATGTTGAACAGAAGGGGTAAGAGGACCAACCCCTGCAGCACCCCCCCCAAGCGAGGCGCCTCAAGGTCGACTTCTGTCCCCCTGCCAACACAAACTGCGAGCGGTCGGAGAGGTAGGAGGAGAACCACCGTAACATGGTGCCTCCAATTCCTAACCCCCTCAACCGCTGCAGCATGATACCATGGTCGATGGTATCAAAAGCCGCTGAGAGATCTAATAGGACCAGGACAGAGGAACAACCCCTGTCCCGAGCCCTCCAGAGATCATCAACCAACGTGACCAATGCTGTTTCTGTGCTGTACTCCTGCCTGAAGCCCGACTGGTACAGGTCCAGATAAACAGCTTCCTCCAGGTACTGGGGTAGCTGTCGTGCCACCACACTGTCGACAACCTTCACCACAAAACGAAGGTTGGAGACAGGACGGTAATTTGTTAATACAGCCGGGTCCAGGGATGGCTTCTTGAGGAGGGGCCTCACCATCGCCTCTTTCAAGGTGGCAGAAAAGGCACCCTCACTCAAAGAAGCATTTATAATCTCCTGGAGCCAGCCTCGTGTAACTTCCCGGGAGGCCAGTACCAATCAGGAGGGACACGGGTCCAATAAACATGTGGCAGCACTAAGCCTACCCAGAATCCTGTCCACGTCCTCGGGTGCCATGGGGTCAAACTCTTCCCAGATAATATTCTCAAGATTCACCCCAT